CAAATGCATCTTGAACTCAAACTTTGAATACAATAACACAAGATACTTTACCTATATATTTTGTGTTCTGTGAGTTCCGTTTGTTAAGAACTTTGAAAATATAACCAAGGCCACACGTTTCCTTCGAATTGTCTCCGTTTGACTCCACCTCGATCCGGAAGTTCAAATCTTCATAGCTATTAAGTTTCTGGCAGCTGACCATGTGCAGGCCATAATGTCGTGCAAGTAGCGTCCCGATGGAGGACACAGTCAACGATGGTTTCTCCGATGTTGCAAGCGTGATGAAGTTCGCAATTTTGTGGACGGGGAAATGACACCAACAATTATATACAGAGCTTCAGGCACCACCAATTATCCTATATGTAGAATACAAGCTGCAGCAGAGGAGAAGGATTTACTGTCAGCAAACAACGAGCATGTCAAGCTTGGTACAGGGCAGTTCCACTCTGATACACACGACAGACATTGGAGGGAATATTTACATTGGGGTCTGATCTGTAGGTGGCTATGAATATATCATACATTATTTATAGGTTGGAATGCGAGCTACCTTTTGTATTACGGGTTATAATAGGGCCCCGCCACGCCGCGTTCAAGATTTTTGCGCTGATTCAGCACATGTGTGTGGTTACTTGTTATAGTCCAGATTATTGTCATTTTTATAGTGCTTGCCAGCTGAAAACCAAGCAGCAGTCATACACCACTCCGATACTTTAAGGGGCACTGATCTAAAGCAATTCCCCGGGACTGGTTTTTGCGCAATTCGTAAGCGCATTTGTCACTTTTGATAGTAGAAGGGCGTATGGTCACATTGATCAACAAAATAAAATACAGTTTTGTAAATGATAAAGAAATGTAGGTATCTTTGTGGGTAGCATCGGTAATGGTGACAAGTTTTGATAAGTCACTTGCTTGGTAATTGTGCGATTTTCGTTTACAATATTTTGACTTACAACACAAGGTAACTATTTTGTCCTGAGCATTGCTTATTTTATCGTGTTTTTATTTTTACAGTCAACATGTGCAAAATTTTCACTTAGGAAATTTATTAAACGCCTGAATATTCAGTTATTTTACAAATTGACTGAAAAATATGTCCATCTGTATTATTATGCCAACGAATTCCAAACATTTTCATATTTAATATCATCACCAAGTGACTGAAAATGTTACGATGAAAAGCACATTTCTATATTGTTTGGCTTCTAATCCTACATAATAATCTATTGTGATGTTTTTAGGCCCTTTTGATCGTCATACTCAATTTTACTCAATCTGTAAAAGAAATGGACAGATTTTTCAGCCAAAATGATTTAAATATTTACACCCTTACATCGAAGAATTTCCCAACCAAGACGCAGAAGAAGAAAAATGAATCTGTCCAATACTTCAGCAAATGAAGGAAAACTAAATGCAAAAGTCATAATTACAACCTACCAAATTAATGTGTATAATTTTAGGCAGCTTCCTTGTTCGAGGAATGTATCCGTGAATATCCACATAAACGAACAATATCCCACACGTCTGCAGCTGTACAAAGAAACTTATTCGATGTCACGTATCTCTGTAACAATCAAATATTTTAATATATATATATATATATTTGTCCATATATATATCGTTTCGGGATATTATAACCGGTTTTCGCTTCTCAGCTGTTTACTAAGATTGTTTCATGTTTTTCACAAAAGTGTCAAGTCTCAGAGGTCGGCTGAGATAGCCCATATATCAACTATTTTCATAATGTCCACGGTTCCTAAAAAAATCCATTGAGTTAGATGACAATGAGCAATCAATCAACGTATTATCGGTTAACCCTTTGAACAAAGTATGTTGTTTTTACATCGGCACTTCACGCCATCATATGAGTGTAGTCCTTTTCTTTTAGTAAACCTAGACATGTAAACATTCACTTTTGACATTTCACTGTGCAAGATAACAGTGATTAAACAATCAATGTATTTTATGTTCATCCTTTGATGACTAGGAACGATCCGTTGATTTACAAAAAAGTAAATCAACTAATCATTCATCTCTTGCTGGGCTGCCACGTGCATATTACATAAAACACATTTCATCTCACCTCAAACCTAGATTTAGATTGAATAATTACCCCAGACACAATAAATGCCAAATGGGAACCTTTGTCAGGTATTCTGATTGGTGCTACCACTAATTATACCTGCAATAAATTCATTAACTGAGCATCAAGTGAATGACGACAAATACACAAGTGTAGGGTTATACCAGAAAACGTGGATGACAACAAGGGAGGAGTAATCGTATTATCGACGCAATCCGAAATCCGAAAAAAGCTTTCACTGCATGGATACTTTTTTTCAATGAATTTAAACTACAACAATCAGGGTTTTTTTTCAAATGACGACATCCGATGAGCTCCGCCGTTCTTTTTGTCTGCTTGTTTAGACTGAAAAAATTAATTAACATGCGCCCTTTGTCAAAATCTTTATAGATCACGGTTAACCAATCAGTGTTTAAAATTGCGTCAAACAAATGCTGCCTCCAAGTTTATTTAGCTGTCCTTGCAGACGGTAGCCCAGTCTCTTGTCACGTTCAGTTGCGTTGCGTATCATCCGGGTACTCACGGGGGAAAAGCAATAACAAAGGCAACAACCAGTCCCGGGGAATTGCTTTAGATCAGTGCCCCTTTAAGACCGACTCCAAGCCGACCAGCTAAAGGCTTTGTTGTATCCCTTAATGCCGAACGCCAGGCAGGGAAACAACATATATCATCTCTTTGTATGATGTGGCCAGGAATCGAACTACCGACCTTGGCTTATTATCTATTGTTTTCGAGATACATAAATCAGATTTGGAGGTCGTAATGCCTTGACCCGACGCTGATTGGCTTGATTAGAAAGTTCGCCTGCAATCTCGTTAAAATCACATCTTTGTTCTCTCTACCAAATTGTTAAGCGGTAGCGAGAACTAAGATCTGATTTAACGATATTGGTTCATTCTGGGTAAGATAGCCTGCAGTTTGTGGCGGGATGTTGTCGCTAAGGATTGACGCTTACCACGTTGGTGAAACCCACGACATGGATCTGACAAACCAATCATACATGTACGTTTCTGGCACGCCTAAAGGGCGCTCTGTTCCCATGTAAGTGCGACACTAGGGCGATCCGAGGCCTTTCTTCTTCAATCTGAGTTGCATCTTATCATCTACTTGCCCACTGTGAACAGGGTACCTATCGGGAAACACCGACTTTTCTGCCTTGACCAACAAACACAGGAAAAGACACAAAAGTTTATAACATGAAATACATTAAAGATTTTTGGCGTTTGGGGAATTCTCACCTTACAAAATGAGGTGCTACATGATTGAGCTTCAACCATGGCCGCCTAGGTTTTATGCAGCCAAAAACAAATGCATTACTCACGCAGATATAGAAAGGTCATTAGGGTATTTGGCTACTTCAAATAGCACCGCTGTGAGTTACGCGTCCTGAGCAACAGGAGGAAAACATGACAGTTGGCTATGCTGTTTTAACCAAACTTTTAAATCCAATTTCAAAACTTCAATTATAAAGTAAAGAATGTACTATTGCAATGCGTGTAAGATTACCCTAATGAGCTTCATGTAAGGATAATAAGGCCGGTATATATTAAGTGAGGCCAATAAAAAACTTACATACACATTTAGCTTAAAAGTGCCCAAGCCATGGGACCAACCGCTCGAAAGAATCCTGAGCTACAGGAAAGTATGGCGGTTGGCTATGGTTATGCAGTTTTAATGAAAATAGATATAACCCATATAAAGGTGGAATTCCAGAACTGATAGAAAATACTATATAAATGTACCAAAGGTATATCAATGGTCATTGATGACACTGATACCTAAAATTTTAAAAATACATAAAAAGAATGAAGGTCTATGCTTGCGCTGTATGGTGTGTGCAATGACATGGTATAGAAAATGTTTGCAAGAAAGCCAGTATGAAGGTAACGTGAATGTATAAAGATAGAAAATGGTGCAAGGGGCAGGAGGTGGGGAAACTAGCAAGAGAAAGGGCCAAAAAGCAAAATAGAATCAAGGACAGAAGTGTGGATGCGCATTGAATGTGTTGCGCGTGATAAAAGAGGCCACATTATGTCACTTACATCAAAGACAAAAACGACAACAACAACAAAAAATAGAAAAGGGCGAGCTCAACATTGAAAAATAAAGAACCTACAAACATGTAAGACGTATTAATGACATATGAAGTAAGATATAAGAAGTGTTAGTATATATTACATACGTTGTTACAAACGAAAGTTAGAAAATATGTTTAGTAAAAGGAGAGCTGGCCTGTTAAGAATGGCAACACAATATGGTACGTAAATACTGTGATTAACTTGCATGAGATAACACGATATTGCAGACGGGTGTGTTTTAAAGCCATTATAAACAAGCTCCCATAAATATTGAACTGTATTGTATCAACACTCCCCTCAATATGATTTCTGGATTCAAGAAAAAGAGCACTTATTCAAGACATTCAAAACATTCAAGTGTGACAAATTCTGGACGTTCGTAAGTGCATTGTCAGTTATAATATGGCTTAGTATTTTCTACCAATTTCTAAAGCGGTAGGGAGAACTAAGAGTTTCCTTTTTTATATTCTATTAAACTATTTTAACACCTATTTTTTTCTATAAATTTGTTCACTTCAGAGACTAGATGTTAGTCTGCACAGGAACTGGCAATATATTACCACAGACCACTCACTGTGAATCATGGACACAGGTTGAAGTACATGTACACATGTAGGTAAGACAGACACAAATATGAAAATCCAGAAACGTTGACGTTATAATTCACTTTTAGACGGGGTATGATATCTGACATAAGGGTTGACCTTTGTCAAGACTAATAGCATTTACTTCATGCACAACGTAGTATATATGCATGGCATGCGAGTTTTAGACGCGGGCCTTTCGATGACACTATGTGTATGTCATTGAAGAATTCTTATAAGACGTCTAATATAATTTTAGTCATCATCATCAGCAGCAGCAGCAGCAGCATCACCAGCATCACCATCGCCTTCATCATCAGCCACGAGTGGTTTCTCGCAGGTCCGAGCAATGTTCCGCCACTCTCTGACCAACTGTTCTGAGTCCATTTCCCACAGTTGACGAAGTCGTGGCCAGCCTATCTTAGCCGTGTTAAGCGTGTAGTCGTTACTGGGATCAACTTGGAAGGAGTAGGCGCCGATAACCAGTGACTGGGTGATGCGCGCGCATACACACAACTTTAACAGTTCAATTTCTCTGTCGGACAAATCATTCTGGGTAAGATAGCCTGCCAGAACATACCCGGATGCAGTTTGTGGTGGGATGTTGTCGCTAAGGATTGACATGTACGCCATTGCTATGGCAACCTCAAAGATGTATGGCAGATAAGCACTGTCACCATAATCCAAGATGGCGGACACATCGTGCTCATCCCTCCATCTGTCGTCATCGGCAGCTTCAGTTACTAAGATGTTCCCTTCGTTTAAATCCCCATGGATCGTTCCTAAAAAATACGTATAAATTTCAATGCAATAATTTCCACTTACCCATTGGCACAATTCCACAGATGATGAAAAAACTATAACATTCCTGCAAATCATCAGATAATTTAATAATTGTACATAAACTCAATAAACTTAATATGTAAACAGAGGATACCCGAACAATCATACAAAAAATAAGTGTTGATTCGTGTTTGGTTTAACGCCGGACTGAACAGACCAAAAAGTTAGGCATAGAGGACGCTTTCTAAGTGCTGGTTAATCCCAAACCTTTGTTACAATATCCATCTTCAGCCTCACTTTGGTTTTCTACAAACTTCCTAACTGGTGGTGATAACACTGGCGTCATTTGGGTATCGTTCGATGGCATCCTTTAATGTTCGATAACAAATTGACTCAGGTTGTGGTCGTCCACCGTAAGGCTGTGGTGATCCACGCGTGTGGGTATGGTGCTGACAGATCTAGGATCTGGACTGAGGCAAATCCGTGATCGCGTTCAATTTTGAAACCCTGGGCAACCTTGTGACCCCTGTTGACCAAGTTATGATCCAGTTTACGTGATACTAAGGTTGACCAAAGTTGCCCATCCCTTATGACCTGGGGTGCGGTACTCTAGTTGGGAGCCACAAAGACGTCATCATTAAAACTTTTCTCATTAACTGTTGATCCAATCGTGAATACAAACATTTTAATGAATATAAGTAAGAAATGGTTGTACATGTGTATATATGCATTCTGATCTACGCCAGGCTAGGGAAGTTGAACTTTCGACTGTTGATACAAATACTAAAGAATCAATAATGCACATTACACAATGATTTTGCATCTCTAATGTTCTACGCGTTATATGAAACTTTCATTTCGTTTTACATGCGTCAAATAAAAACGGTACAATGACAGCTGTGTAAAGCAATGACACACGTGTTTACCTCTCATGTGTTATAGCAATACACATGGCTGTAGTGTTTCGCCTTTACCTGGCAGCCATTTTGTAATCTGAGGAGTTTTATTTCGATTACTACCCAAACGTATGCTTGATTAAGAGTGGTCAGCTCAGGTTGAATCTTATCAACCCTAGTTGACAGAAATGTGATAACCTCAGTCAACTAAAATTGTATTAATCAAAAGTACGAAATGTTAACTGCAGTGTGTGACCACTGGGACACTAAATCAAGAACCGATACGAGTAGTATTTCAAAGTACACGGACACTCGTCTCATGTTAATATTAATTAATTAACATAACATTAAAGGATATAGCGCCGCAGTCAACAATATGTCAGCTATATGGCAGCTACTTGCAACAGAAGATAGTAGTTGGCTGCCACAGAGCATGACTACCGGATCTCCAGTTTAGTCGCCTGTAACGACAAGCATTGGCTACATGTATGTTTACTTGGGCCTGACAGCTTGTATTAGGGCATGTTCGGACAGGAATCCATAAAGGGTGTTGATCTGAGAAGGCGGACACCTTGGCAACACTGTTCTATCTTACCTTGTGGAAATTCATTCAGGTGTTCCAGAACACGTGACTGAAATGTCTTGACGACGTCACTGACCAGCTCTCTGTCACCATTGTCCTCTACCACGTGTAGCAGGTTAACAATCAACGGCAGATGGTCAGGATGCCAGGTTATTTTTTTGCCATGGAAACCAGAATGGTTGAAGCCCTGTGTCGAGATGAAAACTTTTGCAAATTTCTTCAAACAGACACATAAAGGCCAAACAAACAGACCAATTATTTTTCAGAAATATGTTTCCACGTTTTATATATTCAACCTATTTCATGTCACCCGGACCGTTATTGTCTCATTGCTTCGAGACAAGTGCTGAACAAAACTACGACCCTCAAACGACTGTATCTGAGACATAAGTGACACAGTGCGTGTCACGGCTCTTAACTAACTACTTCACCGCCTACGCTAGAATAACGCTTCACCCACAGAGGAGCCGTCTTGAAATTGTCAATCTGTTATCTTCAATGCGTAGCCACTGTCTAGCCTGTATCAATGCAAATGGTTGTCACACCCGATATTGACATTGTTAATTGAGTTGTTACACCAGTATAGGTGTTAACCGGTATAGGTTTGTCAATGAATGACCAATATTATGTTGATATATCTAATTATATAACATTTACACCACTTTACTTTTTTCTGCGTGTATACATTGAGGGGGGAGGACGGAAGAGTAGGAAACTTCTGCTGGGTTAGTATTTTTTATCCAAAGCAACCAGTCAAGGCGATTAAGCCTGTTTGTTTACAAGTTTTAATCCGATACTACGGATTAGCATTTAAATAACATAAGTAATATCAACATCAGGCCAAGGTGCAGCGTTTTCACTTTATAAAGATGTTTTGTATACAAAAAAGTCCCAAGTGGTTTATTAATTACCACATTTTATACACAGAAGCTATAAAAATACAAGGGGCCGATCCCTCCATACATACCTCGTCACAGTGCTTACCTTTAACGCCGTGTCAACTCTGCCTGCCATCACCCCTACCTTGTAACACAGCCCCGGGGTGAGGGGGACAGACTGTAGTATTGTCCCAGGGATAAACTCAAACAGCCGCATTACATAGATGGAGGCTGGAGATGAAACATTTATTTTAGTAGCGCAATGTTCAGAGAGTGAGTGAATGGGTTCTTAGCGTTTCACGCCCCTTACGCAATATTCCAGCAATATCACGGGGAAATGAGCTTCACACAAATATATCCATATGTGGAATCGAAACCGGTCCTCAGCGTCACGAGAGAACGCATTTACCACTGGGCTACCCCAAAGTCCAACAAAACAGTGGATGATAGCGTGAGCAACGCCGTCGGGACACAATGACATAATCAATTACATCAAACAAAAGGAACTATCCAATCCTCATGAGTCGAGTCTAACGACAAGCTGGGGAAATGGAGACTCCTTCTGTCCCTGATGAAGTCATCCATAGTGTTCCTTCCATATTTTGTTATAGTAATTCATCAGTATACATCGTTAACTGTAAAATTGCTCTTGTGCAGTCTGCAAAGTACGGCACAAACGTATAAACGTAGCATATTCAACAACAAACTGATACTGATCCTAGCCTGTCTCGGTCATTAAATTATTTTATTTCCAATTCCGCCCAGCGCTAACAGTATTGCTACAGGTCTTAAAGAAGTTAGTCTAGATTTTCCACAGGTTCCTTTTTATTTTAAATGTGGCCGCTTGCTTCTATCAAAAGAATATTCCAACACTGACCCGTGATGTCTGTGTTCTTGCAGCCCTCGTCTGGCAGGTTCACCGTCAGGTACAGGTGCCCGGTGAGGGTGGGGACGGCCCGGGGGGTGAGGATACCAATCTCATATACCCGAGACATCATCTCGAGCTGGGCTTCTGAAACGATAGTTTTGTAGATCATATGACATATTAAAAAGCGCATTTGAATAGTTGTTGTATATAATAAATACATCTTGATCATTATTACACATGGAATCAGATCCCATTCTTGCTTGGTCGCAGCTGTATCAAATACATTTTGATTGTTCTTACACATTAACTCAAACTTTGAAAACTATAAAAGTTTAACAAGATACTTTACCCATATAGTTTGTGTTCTGTGAGTTCTGTTTGTTTAGGACTTTGAAAATATAACCATGACAACACGGTGCCTTCGAATTGTCTCCATTTGACTCCACCTTGACACGGAAGTTCAAATCTTCATAGCTGTTAAGTTTCTGGCAGCTGACCATGTGCAGGCCATAATGTCGTGCAAGTAGCGTCCCGATGGAGGACACAGTCAACGATGGTTTCTCCGATGTTACAAGCGTGATGAAGTTCGCCATTTTGTGGACGGTGAAATAACACCAACAGTATGTAGAATGCAAGCTGCAGCTGGGGAGGAGCATTTACTGTTAGTAAACAACGACCACATCTAGCTTACTTACACGGCAGTTCTACCTTAATACACACGACAGACATTGGAGGGAGTATTTACTTTGGGGTCTGATCTGGAGGTGGCTATGAATACATCATACATTATTTATAGGTTGGATTTCGAGAGAAAAGCTACGAAAGGCTTCTTTTTGTATTACGGGTTGCATGCACTTGTTTATGGCTGCTAGTCCAGACTATTGTCAGTTTTTCTAGTGCTTACCAACTGAGATACCATGCCGAAGTTATACCAAAATCCAATACTTAATACTGACTGTAAGCAGACCAGCTGCAGGCCTTGTTTTATCCCCTGAATGCCGAACGCAAGGCAGGGTAACAACAAGTACCATCTCTTTGTATGATATGGCCAGGGGATCGAACCACCGACCTTCTGCTCCCCGAACAGACGCTCTCCTAGGATGGCCATGGCACTAGAGGAGGCAATGTTGGATCGGGTGATCCATCCTCAATAATCCAGTGCATTATATCTACACAACTGAGATTCGGGAGATCAGGCTTGGTGACATTACGTGTCACCGTACCCCGGTAGCTGGGTCATACTAGATCCCTCTCTCTTTCTGAGCTGGTGGTATCACACGCTGGGTCAAACAAAATCCCTGTAAATCCATGGTAAACGATATCAGGGGAACATGGGTGGCCCAGTCGTCCAGGGAGCTGCGATACACATTGATTCGTCTCATAACCGCCATGGTCCTGTGCTCGTTGTTTCGAATCCCAGTTTTTAACTCGCAGTCAAGAGAGCCAACACTCCTGTCACCTTATTCTTTAGCCATCTCTTACGACAAGCATGGTCTACCTACATAGCACCAATTCTGACCAGGAGCCATCACTGAATCTATACTTTACTTCCTATTTTAAGCTGACATGTCCAGGTGTGACTTAAATACTGGCAAATCGTATCCGTTATTTTACACAATATTCAAACAATAGTATACATACCTGCTACAAGAGTCGTCCAACACGTTCACGTTATAACAGAAATATTGTCGATATGTGTCAGGGAATGCTGGGGTGACAGGTGTTTGGAACGTTGATGGAGTAATAAATTTATATAAGTATACTGACGGAGTCACAGGTGTTGGGCACGGGTCCTGGCCAAGTCGCCTGAGGCATCTAACTGTGCAGCGTTGTGTACCTTGGACGTGTCAGAATCCCCCGGTCGTAGGTTCCAGTCCAGGTCAGCACTGATTATTATGGCTGGTTTAATTTTACAGCCCTTGGTCGTAGGTTAAAATCTGCATCACTTAGAGCTTTCCTCCAACATTAAGTTGACACGTCGGGATGTAACTGAAATGCTGTTTACGGACGCTTCGAGACCGTGTTTTCAAGAAGGCTCTCTGTTCCCGTGTAAGTGCGACACTAGGGCGATCCGAGGCCTTTCTTCTTCAATCTGAGTGGCATCTTATCTACTTGCCCACTGCGAACAGGGTACCTATCGGGAAACACCGACTTTTCTGCCTTTGCCAACAAACACAGGAAAATACACAAAAGTTTATAACATAAAATACATTAAAGATTTTTGGCGTTTGGGGAATTCTCACCTTACAAAATGAGGTGCTACATGATTGAGCTTCAACCATGCCCGCCTAGGTTTGATGTAGCCAAATACAAATGCATTACTCACGTAAATATAGAATGGTCATTAGGGTATTTGGCTACTTCAAATAGCACCATAGAAGACATACATACAAATTTGAACTCAAATGTTCCCAAGCATTGGGACCCACTGTGAGTTACGCGTCCTGAGCTACAGGAGGAAAACATGACAGTTGGCTATGCTGTTTTAACCAAACTTTTAAATCCATTTTCAAAACTTCAATTATAAAGTAAAGAATGTACTATTGCAATGCGTGTAAGATTACTTTAATGAGCTTCATGTAAGGATAATAAGGCCAGTATATATTGAGTGAGGCCAATAAAAATATTACATACACATTTAGCTTAAAAGTGCCCAAGCCATGGGACCAACCGCTCGATAAAATCCTGAGCTATATGAAAGTATGGCAATCGTTATGCAGTTTTAATGAAAATAGATATAACCCATATAAAGGTGGAATTCCAGAACTGATAGAAAATACTATATAAATGTACCAAAGGTATATCAATGGTCATTGATGACACTGATACCTAAAATATTAAAAATACATTAAGAGGGTGAATGTTTATGCTTGCGCTGTATGGTGTGTGCAATGACATCGTATGGAAAATGTTTGCACGAAAGCCAGTATGAAGGTAACATGCATGTACAAAGATAAGAAAATGGTGCAAGTGGCAGGAGATGGGAAAACTAGCAAGAGAAAGGACCGAGGACAAAGCAAAATAGAATAAAGGACAGAAGTGTGGATGCGCAATGACTGTGTTGCGCATGATAAAAGAGCCACATTGTGTCGCTTACATCACAGACAAAAACCAGAACAACAACAAACAAAGCAAAGCGAGCTCAACATTGAAACATAAAGAACCTACAAACATGTAAGTCGTGTTGATGACATATGAAGTAAGATAAGTGTGATTAAACGTGCATGAGATAACACGATATTGAAGACGGGTGTGACTTAAAGCCATTATAAACAAGCTCCCATAAATATTGAACTGTATTGTATCAACACTTCCCTCATTATGATTTCTGGATTCAAGAAAAAGAGCACTTGTCTTATTCAAGACATTCAAGACATTCAAGTGTGACAAATTCTGGACGTTCGTAAGTGCATTGTCAGTTATAATATGGCTTAGTATTTATAGCAGCAGACACATATTTGTGTCATTGTCTTACATTGTATGAAATCTTGTAAACATGACCCTGTATACTCTATATAATTTGTTGCCGGTTTTTCGAGATACACAAATCAGATATGCAGGTCATAATGCTTTGCCCCGACGCCGATTGGCTTGACCAGAATATTCACCTGCAATATCATTAAAATCAGATCTTTGTTCTTACTACCAATTTCTTAAGCGGTAGGGAAAACTAAGAGTTTCCCTTTTTTTATATTCTATTAAACTATTTTAACAACTATTTATTTTCTATTAATTTTCACTTCAGAGACTAAATGTTAGTCTGCACAGGAACTGGCAATATATTACCACAGACCAGTCACTGTGAATCATGGACACAGGTTGAAGTACATGTACACATGTAGGTAAGACAGACACAAATATGAAAATCCAGAAACGTTGACGTTATAATTCACTTTTAGACTGGGTATGATATCTGACATAAGGGTTGACCTTTGTCAAGACTAATAGCATTTACTTCATGCACAACGTAGTATATATGCATGGCATGCGAGTTTTAGACGCGGGCCTTTCGATGACACTATGTGTATGGCAATGAAGAATTCTTATAAGACGTCTAATATAATTTTAGTCATCATCATCATCAGCAGCAGCAGCAGCGTCACCAGCATCACCATCGCCTTCATCATCAGCCAAGAGTGGTTTCTCGCAGGTCCCAGCAATGTTCCGCCAATCTCTGACCAACTGTTCTGAGTCCATTTCCCACAGTTGACGAAGTCGTGGCCACCCTATCTTAGCCGTGTTAAGCGTGTAGATGTTACTTGGATCAACATGGAAAGAGTAGGCGCCGATAACCAGTGACTGGGTGATGCGCGCGCATACACACAACTTTAACAGTTCAATTTCTCTGTCGGACAAATCATTCTGGGTAAGATAGCCTGCCAGAACGTACCCGGATGCAGTTTGTGGTGGGATGTTGTCGCTAAGGATTGACATGTACGCCATTGCTATTGCTACCTCAAAGATGTATGGCAGATAAGCACTGTCACCATAATCCAAGATGGCGGACACATCGTGCTCATCCCCCCATCTGTCGTCATCGGCAGCTTCAGTTACTAAGATGTTCCCTTCGTTCAAATCCCCATGGATCGTTCCTAAAAAATACGTATGGATTTCAGTGCATTAATTTCCACTTACCCATTGGCACAATTCCAAACTATAACATTCCTGCAAATATTCAGATAATTTAATAATAGTACATAAATTTATTAAACTTAATATGGAAACAGATGATACCCAAACAATCATACACAAAAATGAGTATTGATTCGTGTTTGGTTTAACGCCGGACTGAACAGACCAAAAGGCTAGGCATAGAGGACTCTTTCTAAGTGCTGGTTAATCCCAGACCTTTGTTACAATATCCTATCTCAGTCAACTAAAATTGTATTAATCAAAAGTACGAAATGTTAACTGCAGTGTTTGACCACTGGGACACTAAATCAAGAACCGATACGAGTAGTATTTCAAAGTACACGGAAACTCGTATTATGTTAATATTTATAAATTAACATAACATGAATTAATATAACGCCGTAGTCAACAATATTTCAGCTATATGGCGGCTTCTTGCAACAGAAGATAGTAGTTGGCTGCCACAGAGCATGAGTACCGGATCTCCAGTTTAGTCGCGACAACGACAAGCATTAGCTACATGTATGTTTACTTGGGCCTGATACCTTGTATTAGGGCATGTTCGGACAGGAATCCATAAAGGGTGTTGTTCTGAGAAGGCGGACACCTTGGCAACACTGTTCTATCTTACCTTGTGGAAATTCATTCAGGTGTTCCAGAACACGTGATTGAAATGTCTTGACGACGTCACTGACCATCTCTCTGTCACCATTGTCCTCTACCACGTGTAGCAGGTTAACAATCAACGGCAGATGGTCAGGATGCCAGGTTATTTTTTGGCCATGGAAACCAGAATGGTTAAAGCCCTGTGTCGAGATGAAAACTTTTGCAAATTTCTTCAAACAGACACATAAAGGCCAAACAAACAGACCAATTATTTTTCAGAAATATGTTTCCACGTTTTATATATTCAACCTATTTCTTGTCACCCGGACCGTTATTGTCTCATTGCTTCGAGACAAGTGCTGAACAAAACTACGACCCTCAGATGACTGTATCTGAGACATAAGTGACACAGTGCATGTCACGGCGCTTAACTAACTACTTCACCGCCTACGCTAGAATAACGCTTCACCCACAGAGGAGCCGTCTTGAAATTATCAATCTGTTATCTTCAATGTGTAGCCACTGTCTAGCCTGTATCGACGCAAATGGTTGTCACACCCGATATTGACATTGTTAATTGAGTTGTTACACCAGCCTTCTTTTAGGGCGTATCGCCCTGTGTCCTGTTAACCGGTATAGATGTTGTCAATGAATTTGTTATGATAAAACAATGATCAGACGAATGGCCAACATTATGTTGATATATCCAATAATTTAACATTTACACCACTTTACTTTTTCCCCCGTGTATACTTTGAGGGGGGGAGGACAGAAGAGTAGGAGACTTCCGCTGGGTTAGTATTTTTTTTATCCAAAGCAACCAGTCAAGTCTGTTTGTTTACAAGTTTTAATCCGATACTTTGGATTAACATTTAAACTAACATAAGTAATATCTACATCATGCTAAGGTGCAGCGTGTGCACTTTATAAACATGTTTTGTATACAAAAAAGTCCCAAGTTGTTTATTAGTTACCACATTTTATACACAGATGCTATGAAAATACAAGGGGGCGATTCCTCCAAACAGACCTCGTCACAGTGCTTACCTTTAACGCCGTGTCAACTCTGCCTGTCATCACCCCCACCTTGTAACACAGCCCCGGGGTGAGGGGGGCAGACTGTAGTATTCTCCCAGGGATATACTCAAACAGCCGCACTACATAGAGGGAGGCTGGAGATGAAACGTTTATTTTAGTAACGCAATGTGAGTGAATGAGTTTTGGAGGCTGGAGATGAAATATTTATTTTAGTAGCGCAAAGTGAGTGAATAAGTTCTTAGCGTTTCACGCCCCTTACGCAATATTCCAGCAATATCACGGGGAAATGAGCTTCACACAAATATATCCATATGTGGAATCGAAACCGGTCCTCAGCGTCACGAGAGAACGCTTTTACCACGGGGCCACCCTAAAGTCCAAATAAACCAGTGGTTGATAGCGTGAGCAACGCCGTCGGGACACAATGACATAATCAGTTACATCACCCGTTGTAACCATCCCATCCTCATGAGTCGAGCCTAGCGACAAACTCGGGGAGTGGAGACTCCTTTTGTCCCTGATGAAGTCATCCACAGTGTTCCTTCCATATTTTGTTATAGTGATCCATCAGTATACATCGTTAACTGTAAAATTGCTCTTGTGAAGTCTGCAAATTACGGCACAAACGTATAAACGTATCATTTTCAACAACAAACTGATACTGATCCTAGCCTGTCTCGGTCATTATAATTATATTATTTCCAGTTCCGCCCAGCGTTAACATATTGCTACATGTCTTAAAGAAGTTAGTCTAGATTTTCCACAGGTTCCTTTTAATTTTAAATGTGACCGCTTGTTTCTATCAAAAGAATAGTCCAACACTGACCCGTGATGTCTGTGTTCTCGCAGCCCTCGTCTGGCAGGTTCACCGTCGAGTAAAGGTGCCCGGTGAGGGTGGGGACGGCCCGGGGGGTGAAGATACCAATCTCACATACCCGAGACATCATCTCGTGTTGGGCTTCTGAAACGATAGTTTTGTAGATCATGTGACATATTGAATAGCGCATTTGAATAGTTGTTGTACATATTAAATACATCTTGATCATTATAACTCATGAAACCAGATCACATTCTTGCTTTGTCAAACTTTGAATACAAAACAAATTTAATATAATTTAAAGATACTTTTCCTATATATTTTGTGTTCTGTGAGTTCTGTTTGTTTAGGACTTTGAAAATATAACCAAGGCCACACGTTTCCTTCGAATTGTCTCCGTTTGACTCCACCTCGATCCGGAAGTTCAAATCTTCATAGCTGTTAAGTTTCTGGCAGCTGACCATGTGCAGGCCATAATGTCGTGCAAGTAGCGTCCCGATGGAGGACACAGTCAGCGATGGTTTCTCCAATGTTGCAAGCGTGATGAAGTTCGCCATTTTGTGGACGGTGAAATGACACAAATAACTAGATACAGACCTGCTTCTACATCAATTGCAGGATGTACCTGGCAGAACACAAGTAAGGTGGGCTGTTCAAGCCACAATTAGATTATCATGAGGTATGGTGAAAAGTTGGCGACATAAATGATGATTTTAAAAAAACAGATTTTATACTGAACGGATGGACATAAACACTTATTTGTTGGCACATCATGTGTCTAGAATTGAATGAACAATTATACGGCAATTCCGCCCTTATAACTTAACCCCGTTTGTTGCCAGGTTGTTTTGAAACCATGTACCTCTCCGCCATTTGGACACTTTGTATGCTTAAAATCAGTCAAAAACACCACATACACGTGGCGGCCCTTCGCTGTGCAGAGTTGCGACCCTTAGACACGCCAGAAACCTATGATTGTGGGTTCGAATCCCGGTTCGCCCCGATTATGTTTCTAGGTTTGTCAGCACCATACCCGTGCTCGTGGGTTTCACCGAAGTGGTAAACGTCTGAGACCTGCATCACTTCGGGCTTTCCTCCCACATTAAGCTGACACGCCGTGATATAACTGGAATACTGTTAAAAGCGGCGTTAAACCTGACTCACTCACTCATCTATAAATCTATAATACATCTATAAATTCAGTTTAAATAATGTATTAATTGGGGCCCAGTTGACCTTTCGTAAAATTTCAAACATGCACATAGGGATTGGCTGGAATCCTTTTTACGAGAGTTGTCTGTTTTCAGTGACTTACTAAGGCAAGGCATTTTTATTTGGAAATTACATTTAATTATATATTAAAATACTTGTTTTTTATCCAGATTGAGCAAATTTATTATTTTCCAATATGTTTCTTTTTCAAAATCCAAACGTTCCGGGTTCGATTCCCCACAAGGATACAATGTGTTAAGCCCATTTCTGGTGTCCCCCGCCGTGATATTGCTGGAATATTGCGAGTGGCGTAAAACTATACACACTTACTCTAGCAACAGTAGGCTGTTTATTCCCTTGGGAGTTGATAATGGTAAAAGGAATGCATTCGTTTATCCAGGAACAAATATAAACAGCATTTGAGCAGAGATATCTGGATAAGTGCGTTATATAAATGTATACTATAATCATTATTATTTATGCTACGAGGGCGGGTCAAAAAGTTCTAACCCTGACTAACTCAACTATGGGCCATAACAAAGTGAACAAGTCAATGTAGTACATTGTTCGCGTAGTTCATTGCAAGTGTATTTGGTCTGTTGAGGCCGTTTGTATAATAGTGACAGCCTCATTAGAGAAAAGTACTCGCCAAGAAATGCATGACCGCATGTCACAAGTGTATGGGGATAGGTGCTCTAGCTATTCCACTGTTAAACGTTCGGCAGCTATGTTTAAGGCTGGGAGAACAAGCCTTGATGATGACCCTAGGTCTGGACGTCCCTTAACTTCCATCAACAAAGATTCAATCAAGTAGATAGAACTTGCCGAACTTGAGGAAGACACAGGTCTTAGCCATGGATCCATTGAAACTATTATTCATTTACAGATGAATAAGATATCTTCTCGTTGGGTGCCAAAGTTTCTAAATTCTGATCTTAAGGAAAAAGGAGCTGACATTGCCAGAGAAATGTAGAGCTATTTGAGAAGGATTTCGTCAAATTCAAAAAGAGATTATTAACGGATGATGAAACATGTGTCTACCACTATGATCCCGAGTCAAAACGTCCATCCATGAAATGGCATCATTCCACTTCTCCGGCAACAAAAAAATTCAAGTCTTCAGGATCAGTGAAAAATGTTATGGCCACTGTATTCTGAGATGCAAAGGATGTGATTCTTGTTGATTACTTAGAAAGTCAAAAGACGATTACCGCTGCCTACTATGCTGATTTGATTCATCGCCTGAGAGATTCTATCAAAGAAAAGCGGCAAGGAGTGCCGACTGCTGGTGTTCTACTACTTCATGCCAATGCCTCTCCTCACACCTCTCGACTTGTAAAGGCTGCTGTGCGATAATATGGGTTCGAAGAGCTTCCTCTTCCAGATCTGGCACCAAGTGATTTCCACCTGTTTCCTAAACTGAAAAAAATGTCTTCCTGGAAAATGATATGACGACAACGCTGCCGTGAATGGGTTTTTTAGGGTGGCTTTAGAAAACTTCTTCCTGATTGGAATTGAAAAGCTTCACTATCGAAATTTTGTCAAAAGCACGGAGATTATGTTAAAAAATAAAATTAAAAACACCTCAACAATTGTGTGTTTTGTTTGTTAGCCTTAGAACTTTTTGACCTCGTGTTCTATCATTTGAGGATAAAATATATATAAACTCTGTAACAGTTCCATCTTCGATGAGACTTCTACTTATGATTATTACTTCTTGAAACTACTATAAGAGAGATTTAGTTGTCAATAATTTGTATATTATTTAAACATAGCAAAGCAACAACAATACATGAATCACCATAAGCATATTTCACTGTATGAATTTGAAATAGTGCATGTAGTTTTAAATGACAATGTCAAGCTCATTCAACAAGGGAACATTATTAACATGGCACTCACATACTCACTACAAACCGTCCATACTGATGTGCAGTGTCTGGATTGTTTTTCAAACAGTTTATGTTATGTGTTTTACATTAACTGTAACATTGAAGCACACGAATGTGTCAAGGACAGTCTAGCAAGCGACCTTGTTTGAAATCTAGATCTCCAAATAGTCATATCATTGTAAAGTACATGACCCAACGATGATAGGCATAACAACAATTATGTCAAAGCATACATTCATTGAGAAGTGACCTGAGTTTCATTTACTGATTAAAAATCAAGTTGAAATTGTCAGTTTTTTACGTAACCCAGATTGTTTCAAAGATTATGTTACAATACGACGACAGTTTTGATTATATATTTGGAAGAAATGTCCATATTGATAATAAGCATGAGAAATATTTTTTAGTGCCATATCTTATGAGTGAGTTGTGTTTAACGCCGCTTTTAACAGTATTTGAGTTTAACGTTTTAACGTTACCTGAATAAGCCGGTTTTTGTTTTCCGCGAATCATATGTCTCGCGTTATTGTCCGAGAGCACGTGCTGTGGGACAAATAAACCAAAACTGGTTGACAAGAACTCGCCGCAAAACTATGATGCGAACGTGCCCTGCATGTCGATCACTTCGGAATTGGCCATTCAATTTACGTGTTGATCATGAACTCCCTGCCTATACAAATATGCATTATACCACTTTAACATTAACGATCATAGCTATCGTTTTATATCTTAGATTTAAATTGAATATTTTCTGTCAATCGGCTTATAAACAGAACGACAATCTGCACTGTCGTTTCGTCTGTAACTCCGTGCTAAATCGCCATGACAAACAGCCTATAAAAATATGCAATAAAAACAACAACAAAACTTCCGTTGCGGACTAAAATGTCAGTAGTCTTACGCCAATAACTTTATGGTACGGAAAAGTAAAGCTTTCAGTTCATTCTGATCAGATTTATTTTTCATAACGATACCCGAAGTCGGCTTTTTTTGTTTTCCGCGATCATATGTCTCGCGTTATTGTCCGAGAGCACGTGCTGTGTCACAGGTCACCGGATGGTATTTTCGTCAGCAGGTCACTTCGACCCTCTCGGACAAAAATCGGCTCCAAATGGAAATCAGGAAGGTATTATTACTACAGTTACTAAAACGTTGTTGAAATACACTCTAAAAACCTATTACCAAATGAGTACTGAACTGAAAAATTCGCCTGTCGGCATCGTCCGCTTAGTTAACCGTGTTAACAAAATATGGAAACGTTTTCGGGACATCTCTCATAATATATTACCATTCGTTCCAATGGTTCTTAGATATTTCTTTATGTTCTTTCAGACCAGTACGGCCGTTCGTGGCCATCACAGATCAAGTTTCAGTATTGATGACATTGATAAAGCCTATAAACTTGTATTTGAAGAAAATCTATCAGCACCGATGGCTGCAGTTAGGTTGGTGTCCCAGTTTCAATGCTTAAAGTCTCCTTGGAAATGTCAGCCCCGAACAGTCAAGTCGGGACCGATGCCGTTATTTACAGCAACACAGGAATCATTCTTGGCCAGTCGCATTCGGGTTATGGGGGAAATTGGCTATGGTTACACACGTCAGGAGACATTCAACCTTGCGAGTGACTGTGCTGCCCACCTAGGATATCGGGATCGTTCTCATCCATTGAGCTTACGGTGGTTGTACTGCTTCATTGATAGATGGCCAGAACTTAAAAGTCTCGAAACCACGCAAACTGGAGGCTGCAAGGGCGAGATCGGTGACCAAGGAGAACATTGCGAGGTACTTTGAAGAGCTGTAACAAGTCATAAAGAAACACAGCTTGGACAGTTCTCCTCATATGCTATCTTCAACATCGACGAGAAAGGCCTCTAGCTCTACTGTTACAGCAAGGCACAGACCGTGACATCGTGTGTCTAAACCAGTCACGATGATTGCATCTGTTAAAAGAAGCCTCACCTGGAGCCTCTGCAACTGTGTCTTAGACTGGATGGTCGAATAAAAGTTTCAAACCAAGGAATACACTGAGTAAAATTGTCGGTAGGAAAAAATCCCAGAGCACCGGGAAAGACATAAATTAGGCAATCAGTATCAGCGTAGGAGGAAACGTGAAAGTCCAAGTAATATGACTGGGGCTGTCAGGCAGTGATCCTCATCAGGTGGCAACATCGGAGCATCATTGGGTTAAAAAGGTATATAATATTTTGTGAAAGACAATAAACCATACAAAGTTTAAAAGTATTTTCAAACCCATTATGGAAGTTCCATGTACATTAAATAGACCTTTAACTATTTGTTGTGTCATCAAATGTCATCAACTTACAATGCATGTATCCAAACCCAATCACCTGTCCCACTGTCTTTCATCATCCATACCAGCAGCAGCAATCCCACCCCGGTCCCATGTTGCCACTCAAACCTCCCCTACTTCTGTTTCTACTGGTAAAACTCCC